ATCAGCGACTATAATTTAATTAAAATAAGTAAGGAAAGTTCTGTCTTCGGCTATGCCGAAGGCTTCATACCTTTCATAAACATCGAAAAATTCCACTTCAACCGATTACTGCAATTGAAATTTGCTGTTTGGGAGCTAAATAAACTAAGTTTTTATATTCACTCTATATTCACTATATATGTACTGGCATAGAAGATATTTCCTTATAACGAACCGGTCTAAGTAATTTTCATTGCTGTTTATGATCGTTATGTAAACCGCTAACAAAATTTATTGGTTTTAGCTGCCTACAACCTGAACAATAACTGTATATTATACAGCACCGATTCTGAAGACTTTCTCAGTGTACTTTGTATGATTATTTAGAAAACAGCCAACGAATTTTGTCGGTTCAAATTAAGGAGTTTTAAAGTAAACCGCAAAAAAACTCATTTCTGAAAAATCAGTTTGATTTGTTGGCCTCGAAAACAATTTTTGTTTGTCTTCATAACGAAAAATTTCACAAACTCCACTTCAGCATAGGGTTGTAAGCCACAATGAAACCATCGATGTTTCAAAAAATTACATCGATGGTAGTTTGATGTATCGAATTAAAACATCGATGTTTTTACCCATGTTTTTAAGAAAATTTGCTGATTTTTTTTTTTTATTATTGCACACAGTTTTAAATTGGATTCATATATGTACTTAGTTTTTGTTAAAGAATGAACTAAATTTTTATAGAAAAAAAACAGATATTGAATATGAAAAAAAAATTATTATTAAAATTTGTCTATATGTGGTGAGCTTTTATTTTGAAACGAGGTGTAGTATTAAGTTAATGTATTAAAATTTTAGTTTAGTACTGCATACGAGTTGTTTTTGCGGTCTGCCGGCTTTTCATGCGATCGCGAGTTCGTCGGCGAGCCGATACAAAGTCATTCGGCAAATTGATAGTTTTAAAAAAATTAAACTAATTCTTACAGATATATCGTTAGTATTCCTAGTATGGGAAAGGTCCCAACATTAGTTACATTGTTGTGGCTTTTTTGCATTTAAGCGAAGATGTGAGATACGCCCTTTCCATTCTAACTAACGACATGTGCATTTATTAATTGGAATTTACGAATTTATTAAAGGAACTTACTTCGGCATGATTCCATGAAAGTACTAATTTATAAACAAAACAATACCTTAGATTACGGTTTTTTTTTTTCAATTTGAATGCGTACGATTTTCACGCTCGACATGTTGGAAATGTCCATAGGAATTTTTGTTGCACATGCATACATACAAATATAGTAAGTACTTATGTATATATTAGGCCCATTCTTTTGCAACTGAGCTACAAAAGAACACTCGCTTAAATGAGGAAATACACGCAAAGCAACAACACAAACTAGGCTATTTATCCGAGTTCAGTCAGGTCGGTTAAAACATACGCGACCTGAGGAGTAGTGTTGTCAAGTGAAAAAACTGCTCTATTGTGAATTTTTAATAAGAAAGTGGAGAGGGAAATTTTTGTTTTCGTATATACATACATGATTTATATTTTAAATAAGTATATTTATTACGCAAATACCTTGCATATTTACTAATTTCTATTGTTCTTGTGTCTAAATCCCGTTAAACTAATCACATGTTTTTCTTGCCAGCTACCAGCAGGGTTGCTTGAGTAGCTAAAAGGAAATTTTACCCGAGTCGAGCATTCTTTTGTTGCTCGCTTGCAAAAATAAACCGGCAGCTATTTATTATATTTATGTATGCAAATAAACCAGCGTGTATGCGATATACACATAGCACATATGATCACGTCATATTGTCGACAAGTGACGACGCATAACAACGACAGCAAAGACATTTGTAAACACAACAACTGTTGACAGTAACATGCTGCTATGCACGTACATACGTACGTATGCACTTATGTATGTATGTATTTACCTACATACATATTCAAGATAATTGTTGCAATGACTGAGTATCTCAGCCGGGGGCGTAAATAATCGCTAAATATGTATCAAAGAAAGTCATTGCTTAACGATTTGATTTGCGATGAATGGAAGCTGCACCTAAACAGCTATACGCATATATGTATACGTGCATGCATGCATGTAAATAATTATCATTGCAATTTTGCATTTTGACATTTTGCTCATCACACTTTAAATACCTATATATATATGTATATGTGTGTGTGTGTAAGTGTGTATGTATGTACAAGTATTGTTCTTTGCATGCGTATAAATTCGTTACATGAATATTCAATTGTTGATTTATTATTTTGATAGTTCAACTTTGCACGTCCAATTAGAATGTCTTTTTGTTGACAATATTTGCACAATCAAATGCAATTACATACATCATACTCACTCTCATTGTTTAAGTATGTAGTATGTTAGATATTTGATAAAATTAGTTGGAAATTACAAAAGTTGATTGCTGCACACAAATTTGACAAATTTCTGCTATCGGATGCCCCACTGCTATTGCATATCGATATAAATTCATACATACATACATACGTCCATCAATAAATAATATCTACTTTTCATTCACCATCTCAGTGGAATACAATGTCAGGTTTCAACAGAATTAAATTACATTTTCCAGCCAATTTGTTGCAGTCGTAAACTTTCATTCCGATTTTTGATTGTGCTTTTCGTTTTATTTTGCATCGAAATATAAATACGTACATATGTATATATGTATCGAGTATCGAGTATCAATTTGATAGTTACATGTATTAGAAGAAGGGGTTGAAGGCGCCTCTCTGATTCAGGTAAATGGAATCGATACTTATTTGATCTATTAAAATACAGAGCTCATTACATCTATCTCTTTGAATTTATACTTTGCAATTAAATCAGGGTACTCTTAATATCCTGTTTCATTGAGAAATATGATTCTTATATTTTATATAGAGAGCAAGAATTACCTGTTTTTTTTTTTTTTTGATTGACAAACTGAAATTATTTGAGATTTTCTAATTTATTCGAAACTTTTTAAAATTTTTTTGATATATTTTGGCGAATTTTCAAATAAATGTCTGTATATTTTTTGTTTGTGTTTTCGATTTTTCTTCGGAGTACTCCGCCAATTTTCAAAATTTTTTTAATATTCGTTTTCGGAATTTATTCCCTGAATTCCGTTAGTTTCCAATTTTACGAAATGCTTCGGGAACTTTCGGTATCTTGTCGCGACGTGTCGGGCTTCTTTTAATTGTTTCATCAGGGTTTTTGCGAAACAATTCCGAACTATTCGCTGTCTTTTTCAGAAGTGCTCAAAAAGCATCGGGTATATTTTGCCTTTTTTGTCTCACAAGATGCGATTTACAAAAAATTGTTTTAGAGATTTCCTAACAAAAGGTAAATATTTGGCACTAATTCGGTGGATAGGACGCAAATGAGGTGGTTTCAGCAAACCCAATTTGAAATTTTTATTACTTTTATTACAAAAATTTAAACATATTTTCCAAACCTCACCGAGCTAAGCTTTCGAGATATTTAGAATTTACTGTTATTCAGCGAAAAAAATTGTTTCACTTAATCACGTAGTCTTAATCCGAAATGTGGCGGCGTAGTCCAAAGTTATGCGGTACATAAAAAAATACAAATAAAAAATAAATAAAAATATAAATAAAATATTTCTACGAACTGATAACCTCCTGCTTTTTTGGAAGTTGGTTAATAACGAAAATGCGCAAATATTTTTTTTTTGTACAGAATAGAATGTTACTCATACGCCATGCACCATTGCTCAGAAACTATCAGGCCTAGCGAAAAGTGTTGCATATACGGTTTGTGGTGAATTTTGTTAACTTAGATTTGACGTATTTCGAATTGAAATTGTGAAGTTGATTCGCAGGAACTACATTTTTAAGCTGAATAACGGTAAATTTGAAATATCTCGGAAACTTATGCTTATAAAAAATTAACTCGATTTTCAGAGTAAACGAGGGATTTTAGATAGGAATTGGATTGTGGTATCCGGAGACAACAAAAAAAAACAAATTTGTGATCCATTGTAATTGGTATTTCTTGCTCAAAATTCATAAGGTTAAGTTCGATATTGTCACATTGACCCCAACTGAGTGAAACACTTCATGGTTGGTATTGTAAAAATCAGTTGACGCTTAACATTAATAAATGCTTTAATGTGACGTTTTTTTAAACACATAAATACTTATAGCTTTACAATCCGTAGCTGAAACGAAAGACCTTGGCGTTGTATTTGATTCCAAGTTAACTTTCAATGGCCACGTCGATTATGTTCTTTCACGTTCATTCTCAAAGTTAGCATTTATTCGACGAAATTGTTCAGCATTCACAAATCCTTACACACATAAAGTTCTGTTTTGTACGTTTGTCAGATCGAAGTTAGAATACGCATCTTTTATCTGGAGGCCGTACAGTAAGGCTCTTTCCCATCGCTTAGTGCATGTTCAAAAAGGTTTTCTTCGGTTTGCTCTCCGATCTTTAAACTTTTCTGTCTTTTTCACTCTCGGTGTCTGCTAATAAGCCTGGATACCCTTGAAAAGAAGAGATCTTTTTTAGACTGCTCTTTTGTTGTCAAACTCATACGAGTAAATGGGTCGATTAATTGCCCCTCCCTTCTAGATATATGTAATTGCATTCATTTCAATACCAATTATGGTGCCAATTTTGCTATACTTCGTACTTGTGCGAAGTTAAATACAACCTTCAATGCCTTATTCAAAGATTTGAAATAAATGAATAAAAAAATCATAAATTCTCGTATATTTTAGACTATAAGCTTTTGAAGTAAGAATCCATAGAGAAAATTTCATCAAAATTCTCACATATTTTTATCGGCAGGAATGCCAGTCATCTTAATAATTACATATAGGAAAACCCCCATTGCTCATACATCGTACAAATATCAATTAAATGCCTACAATTAATTGTGGAAACAACACGATTTTCTTCAAATTGATTTCTGAGAATGCAAAGACTTTTTAAATATTAATTTCACTAAATTGTTTCTCTTCTTAATTACAGTTTTCAACTCGCGTACTCGCAAACTATTTAAACTACTTAATTAAAGTGACGCTGCTGGCTGGCTAAACGAAGAAAGTCTCACAATTTGTATGCCACGAATATTATTTCAAGTGATTAACTTAATAAGCAACGGTATATTAGACACAAAAACAAAGTTTTAAACTATTTAAGCTGACAAAGGAGAAGGGAAATACGTGTGAAAGTGCCAATAGCAACAACCACCTACTCAACGTATTCAATATACATACACACACATATACATGCATAGTATGCATACACTTGGATGCCACTGCATCTAGACTACAAGCGAATATTACATACATAAATCAAACGTATTTACTACATACACAACACATACAGAGTTTATTCGCATAGCATAAACGAGCAGATCAGCGTTAATCAGATTCTATTACGGATAAAATTACGTGTGAAAGGGTAAGTCTGAATGTTGCTACTTATGTATAAATATATATGTTTATAAATTAAAAATTTAAACCAATATACTTGTGCATACATACATACATGCTATGTCTAAGCATACACTTTGTAACATAATCGCACTAGTACATACCATGTAGGCTCTGCACAAATGTGGTCCTTAAAATATCAAAATCTAAAATTTATATAGGGCACACTTTTGTTTGTTCTACGTTCAAACTAGAGGCATACACGAAAATTGAAAAGTTAAAAACAAAATCGGCAAAATTTTAAATTCTATTCTAACTTCTTCATAAAAATTCACAAGCTCGCTGAGTTATTTATTGCTGGTCAAAGTCAAAGTTTTGTCGAATTTTCGCCATTTTTAAAAAGGAATTTAACTTTTTCAAATTTATGTAGGAACGCCTAAATTGTTTATTTTAATTTTTTTGTTTTCTAAGATGTCTTTATTTTGCACATAGATATTTTAAAGGCCACTCCACCGGTTATCCCAACCTCCAATATTTATGCAAAAGCTTTACTAAATGCAGTTATGGTCGTAGCAGCACAAGTTACCAAACGCTCAGATCATCCAGACGAGGTCGTCATACCAGAAATAGTCGATAAGACCCATAAAATCATATTAAGTAGACAAACGGAAAATGAAACTGTAGGTGTCTCACATTTTGAGAATTTGAAGAGGCAAAAAGATATCAGCGCAATAGGTGACGCAATTTTGCTCACACTCGATCTTTCAAATACTAAGAAAATAATGCAAAAAGGCCAAATCCAGACACGTCTTCTGATAACAGCATCGCACTAAATAAACGAAAGCAATGGCGTCTCTTTAGTCGAATCGCAAAGGCGTTGAGAGATCACCGGATCATATACCCAGCTTATGCATATGGCTTCTTAATCAACAAATTACCTGTTTTAGCCCTTAATTTCATGTTAAGAAGTTTTTATTAACTCTTTTGGTACCAGCGTTCAATACATTACCTTTTTTTATTTTTATCTTGTACTTAAAGCTCTTATTTCATAAATAAGATATTTTGTATTTAAACGAACAGTTGCTTTGAGAAAATTAAGTATATCATTCTTCTTTACCGCGTTTCATTAGTTGAATTTTTTTGGATGCTGTTTACCGTGTTTATGAATTGTACACAGTCGATAATGAGCATTGTAATCTATTGGAATTTGAGATTCGAAAAAAAAACTTGTATGTATTAATTTTGAAACCAACCAGCCAAAATTAGTTGGTATAAAATTTTTTAGATTTTAAACTTCAACTAATTAATAAAAAATTAACAGTTTGAACATAGTAACACCACTTCGAAAATATGAGGGTTCTTCTGGGCGTATACGCAACCCGATGCCTACTATAAGGAATATAAAATTCTCCTTAATCGCAATGAAATTTCACCACCCCTAAGCTGATGTTTTTATGTAAACAAAAGTTTTAAAAAACACGTGAGCGCGAATATTGCGCATTTGATAATCATTCAAATTCGTTTGTACGCTCCCGTGACGTGCTTACAAAGTTTAGCGTCGCGCTTTAAAACGCGCTAGACACTATCAAATTGAACTTCCATATTTCCTGCCTTTGGCTTTACGGCCATGACAAATTGTTAAACAACCAAACTGGCAGGGCTTAACGCAAAGATATACTATGTAGCAGCATTTTCATCATTTTTACTGTTATCGCTTATATGTAAATAAATATTTAAATAGTAAAACGGCGCCATTAGCGCACAAATGCTAAAACACATCTGCTCAAATAAGCATCACAGACGTAGACAAATACTTCGTTTACACGATATATGTACGCACCTGCACCAGTAATTGCCTGCCTAATCTGGTTGTACTACATACATAAATATTCAGAAGGCATCTCTATCAGCTTCTAGCTGTGCAATTAAAATTTTATCAAAATTTATGAGCGCAGTAAAAATGAACTAAAATATACATATGTATGTATGTATGTATGTATTTCGAGTGCTCTGGAAAATAAGTGAAATCAGCAACAACTTTTTAGTGAAATCAGCAACTTCATTCCAGCTGATGAAATATTTAAGTATACAATAAATTAATTTGCCTTTGGATGGTTGTGTTGTGTGACACTCTCGCCAACTGTTCGCTCATTAACGCGCTACTTAGTTAGCGCACACGCAAACAGCTACCAATAAATATTTCATTTTCTAGCCGTTAAGCGTCAATTTCTCTCTGCCCAAAACATATTTAATGCCGGCGATGCTTGAAAATATCAAAGCGCTAAGAGGTTAGAATTTTTGTGTGTAGAAAATTAGAAAATCGCCTATAAATGGAAATGAGTAGCACAAGTAGCACTTCCTTTCGCGCAGCTGCTTCCTGCCATTAAGAAGGTTGCATGTTTCGATCGCCGTGAACTCGCTGAGAAGGTGCCCTGTAGGATCTAACTATAAGCTAACTTAAAGTTGATTAGGAAGGAGCTAAAAGTATGTATATTGTCTTTGGCGAAAGCTAACTATGTGTATTTCTATGGCGATGGCCGCGAAATAGGCAAGGCTGGTTACCTCTGCATTCGATGTAACTAACTTGTAACTAACTACTTTTGGACTTAAAATATGAATAGGAAAAAAAATTTTTTTTTCTATTACATTTCATATTTGTTTACATATTCCGCTTGGACGTGGTGCCATATTCGAACTCCGTCTTCCTTTTCTTTGTTTTTGTGTGCTTTCCTTTTTTTCCTTTTTCCTTCCTTTTTTTAATTTGCTTTTTGTTGCTAACTACAAATTATATATGTATTATAGAAATCCTGCGTAAAAGCCAACTACAAGCGGTTATTTTTTATCAATTGAATAATTTTTTTCTGCAGGGTTTGTTACATTATGGCCACGCTTTGTCAGTTCATTAAAGCCACTTAAATTGCGGCTAGGCGCTAGGGGTCAAAAAATAACCGTAGCTCTCATTTTTCACACACTTGGGCACGCACACATACATACATACCCGCTGCCATATTTGCAACTGCCAAACTGCTTCTTGGCGTTATAAAATACCATTGCCATTATTTCAACGTTGTAAACTTTGCCGCGGCCAAGAACATTTTGTTGTGTTTTTGTTGCGCACAAAAACACCCTTTCGCTTCGCATACTCACCGCCCACCACCGCCCTACTTAGACACACGTACATTGTAAATTTCCGCTGCCGCATTTATGTTGTTAAATAATGTGCAAAATGTTAGCTTAAAACTTACAGCTAAAAAGTAAAATATCATAAATTTTGTAGCAACTGTTACCGCTGCCAGCGTGCTTGCCAGCTTTCGTGCTCCTTTTCCATGCTGTGGTTCTTCGCCATTTTTGAAGTCTTTCTTCTCCAGAGCCAGCCTCCCAACGCGCTGGAATGAGTACCACAATTGGTAGGAGTTGTTATTGTTATTAGTTGCCCTAAAATGCATTATACTATAGCTGCACATCATGCCTCATTGGATTACCGCTGCGAACAATATGCACAGCAATAAATTGCTCGTAGCAAGAGCATTCTTCTGTTTTAAGAGGTAAGATTTTTGTTTGCCTCGTATGCTGATTACCATTACTGCGGTTTTGTAAACTTTACTTTACTCCGACATAAATGTGTATTTTCGATAATGAGCGTTTTGAAATTTACGATACTTAGCTTTGAAATAACGGCCCATAAGTCATAAAGATTCTCGATATTTTAAAATAGCATTTTTGTTGTTATTTAATTTTGGTTAGTTTTTTTATAGTTCATTCTTTAACATCCCCTTTTTGTGAATACCCAAATATTTTTCCTTATCCCAATCACGAAAATTAAATTGTTGAAATTTTTCAATAGAACATCGCTGTATTGTACAAATCTTCTGACTACAAATAAAAATCCCCATTTTTTTTTGTTTTGTACCAATAGCAAAATATAAAAATGTACTAACGTGTACAAATGCACCAATCGAGTGACACTGCCTTAAAAATTTATGCAATTAAAAAAAAAAAATTCAACAAGTTTTCGTAAAAATTTCGAGTTTTTTAATTAGATTCTGAGCATGCAGTTGTAGTAGAATAAAGTACAAGTTCAAATGACTAAAAACTATGATTGAGTTTTTAGAATTTAAAAAAAAACTCGAAACTTTTACGAAAGTTTGTTTAATTTTTTTTTTTTAATATTGCATAAATTTGGAAACTTGGATTTTTACGGGGTTAGTTAAACAATAAACTATATTTTTATAAAAAAAAATTACCAAAATTAAATAACAACGAAAATAATAACTTAAAACTGGGCAAAAAGTGGTTCGGCTATAACTTTTTGACCACTGTATGTTTTTTTTATTATATTTTTAATTGTACATGCACATTGTACATAAAGAAAGTACATAACAAAGTAAAAAAATATATGCCTTGTTTGCCTTTTTGCAAAGCTCATTTTGCCTCTTTGTAAGTTTTTAGTGCCTTAAAATCCGACATTTCAAAATTTGCGGGGGGGCTACGGGGCTCAAAACACTTACTTACAAATCACTCATTTTACGCTATCTGTTTAATCAAATTTCCTTTAAGTACCCTCCAGCCAAAGCACTGCCAGATTAACTAATTCTCATCATTCGCATTCATCTCCCCCTAGCATTTCGCAAAGCAAGCCATCTCGGCTAAGCAATATTTAATTCAACTATAGTCACAATTAGTCACAACATTGTTGCTGTAATAAAACGTGATAAGCAAGTTAGTTGCTCTGGCCGATTGTGTTAAAAACTGCAATGAAAATGTATTAATAAATAATCATTTCGATTTTGTTTGCCTCACATATGCTAATTGCTTCTAGAAAACTCAAAACGCCATAATTTCGTCGTTTTTTGTGTGCTTTTTTTAAGTCTTTTCAGACTTTCTATGTGGCTAAAAAAAATGTGACATTCTCAAATATTTCTGCCTGTAAATAAGTCACAAAACAGCTTTTCCAATATAATCATAAATTCAACAAATAAAATACTCCAAGGCTGACTGTAAAAGTGACAGGCACTTCCAAAGCCGGCG